CATCTAGTCGATATTTCCTAAACCGCATTCGAGGTGTTATTCGAGTCGGCAAGGGAAGAGTTGTTGACAACGGTATCAAACAGAGCCGTGTGTTCTATAGGTATCGGTGTTGAGGATATAGTGTTATTGTGGATTGTTAACCCATCCGTATGGGATTCCGTGGCGCCCTATTTTATAAGGACGCACAGATCATGTCGTTGTAGTAATCGAGTTTTCTACCGTGGCCCGGGCACGAGATGGAAGCTCGATACAACAAGTCAACCCTATATGTTGATTCTGTTAGAGTATGCTATCGAGACACGAAAGGACCGGTTAGGGTCTTGTGCATTGATAGATGAGTTGAGTATGAGAATTCCTTACCATGCGAGGTGGCTGGTACGGATAGAGGTGGAGTATGCCGTTGTTTTGGTTACTGCCACGAGTACGCAGCCCTATTTTGATTCTCGACCAAGTCGATGACTTAGCGTGATAGTTGACTCCACCACCGGAACTCGCGAGGATGCATGACACGTTCTGTGCCTCTTGATGGAGGAAACGTGTGCGTGATCTCGGAGTACATGTGAGACGTGACGAGCTGCGTGTTAGGCAGAACCCTACCTGTTTGGAGGTACCGGTGACTTTTAGAAAAAGGCCTGGAGGGGTACTCGTCAAAGTCCAGTGGCGGTTGTCAAGTCAAGGCGATTTGGGAGGACGGGGACCGAAATTCGGAGGAGTTACCCGAATTTCATATGTCGATGTTTTCCCCTCTTTTTCTCGTTTGTATCATGTCGTAGTTTGTATTTCGAATTCCGAGATCGGAATTCTTTGTAAGGTGGGTAGACGGTAGCGCCCCGTTTATTTATGGATAATTCTAGGATTATTTATTATTATTTATTAATATTATTATTACCTAGTGTTTGTTATTAATATTATTGTCATTATTATTATTATTTTTATTATTGTTATTATTATTTTATTTAAATGCCTAATTGTGAAATAAATGTTTAATGTGTATTATTATTATAAATAATGTGTGAAATATATTTTATTATAATAGCCGAATTTTTGTTATAAAATATCGTGCGAACCGAGCCATTTTATATTGGCTAAATCAATCGAGAATAATCGAGCCCGAGAGAAACGTATGCTTTGAACCGAACTTATCTGGCCCAAACCCATGACCCGAAACCCGCCAAACCAGGCCCAGTCGGACAGATCTTTTCTCCCATGTGTTTCACGCGTTAAAAATCTTGGGAAGCCAGATAAAATTTTTGACCTAGCGTCTCGCTCGCTTCTCTCTCGCAACAGATACACGCCGCAACCATAAATCTCCTCTCCCTCACGTCGTCTCCCTCACAAATCTGTCGCCCTCGTTTGTATTCTCTTCCCTGTCGCTCAAAATCCGGACACCTTCATCTCTCTCTCTTAAACTCGCCGCTGCCATCACCATCCTCGCTAAGGAGCAGCATCCCGTCGCACAAGGAGAAGGGAAGAGACCTGCTCGTTTTTCGGCGCAACCTCTCTGCTCCTCGCCGTGCATCACCGCCCAGCACCTCCGTCGCGAAGGTCCCGCGCATCCACGCGCAGCGAACTCCGGCGACCCCTGTTTCGCGTTTTTCCGGCGAATCTGACTCTCCCGCGAGCAAGTCCACGAACATCCGACGTCGAACCTTCACAGTCCGCGAGCCCCGGCGACGAGACCACCTCTGGCCGTGATCCTTTCGACGACCAGCAACCTCCTAAGCGCTGTTCGAGATTTTTCCGGCGTCCCTCCATTCGAGCAGCACCTCGTTGAGCGGCCCTTCACGTCGGAGCATCTCAGCGGCAACCTTGGACGTCCGAGCAGCACCTCTGTCCACGCCCTCGAGCCGCTGACCTCCTCCGCGAGTCGAGCGAAGCCGCCGAGCTTTAGCCCGCGAGCTCGCCATTCTCTTTCGTTCCGTTTTCTGAGTTTTCCCGAGAACGGTACTTAGTCGATCCCGTCTCGTTTAACTCGTATATATGTTGTTTTCGTATTATGTTGATTCACGAGATGTGTTTCTTTGTGTTATAATGTATTCGATATGAGATTATGTGAAATTATGATTTTATGTGTCGTTTAAGTGTTCGGGGATCTCTTCAATTATGAGAAATTGAATGAGACCTCGAACTCGTGTAAGTCGGTGGATAATGGAACAATGTCGAGTCCTTGGCCTTATGAGAAGACCTCGGACGAGAAATTTCATAATTTGAATGATGTGTTAAGTTGTCGATTCCGGTAATCGCTGAATTAGTGTTTGAATTTTTAAAAATCGCACACTGCTCGGAATGACATGAAATTTTGAGGGATGTGTTATCTGTTCATATTCTGCTTTGTGTAAACTTTTCATAAATTTTGGAGGCCTGTAGCTAGTTTTAATAATTAATTTGTATTCTGTCCAGAATATTGTTAAATGCATAATAAATTCATTCCTGACTGAAATGAGCTGAAATTCGAATATGTCATGCCTCTGTGTCTTATATGTGTTGTGTTAAATTTTCAGAATTTTTGGAGTTGAATTGGTATGGATAATATTTTATTTATTGATTCTGCAGAAGTGTTGTTTGAATTTTTAAAAATCGGTTACTACATGGAAAATTCTGAAATTATTCTGAGAGTCATATTTTAGGTGTTTGATCATGTTTGTAAAAGATGAGAATTTTTAGAGTCTGTTTTGTTTCAGTTTGGGTTTAAATTCGATAAACTGCTGTTGCTCGTCTGACTTTTTAAAAATAGCAGCAGTTATTATTTAAGGCTGAAATTTTTATAAGTGGACTTTAGCATGCTGTATGTGGTTGTGTAAAATTTTGAGGTTCAGATTCAGTCATTAAGTCCGAGTATGAATTAATGTGCCCATTTTGCTGATATACTGTTCGAATTTTATAAAATAGGGTATTTTGAGTTTAAAGCTGAAACTTTGTGGTTTTACATGTTGCTGGAAGATGAAATTTTGGGTAAATTTTCAGAGCTTAATTCGTAGGGTAGCTTGACCATCTATTTTCATGCGATTAAATGATTTCTATTTCCGAACATGATTTTTATGAAAGTTGGGAATCGACTTGCTTTTCGTTTTGATGTGAGTTTGACTTGGTCAATCCTTAGATGGATTTATGTGAACTCCCATATGTGGTTTGGTCGAGTTTAGTGCCGAGTTTTAGTGTTCCAACATCCACAGGACTTCACGAACTACTTAGTCGAAACAAGTTCGACTAGGTCTGTTTTGTGTTTTCCGATTTAGTCACGATATTGATTGTAGGATCTTGACATAATGTAGGTGTTTGAGGAGTCAAGCCTCAACCTACGACTATTCTGAATTACTGTCATCAGTCCGAATCCAGGTGGGTTGTTATTCAAAAATTATCTATGCATATGTGTGATTTAATTGTGTGGAAAATTTGGTATGATCTATGTATGCATGTGAACATGTAGCCTATCGATGTGAGCTGTTACGGCCGTCGGTACGGTTGTCCCCGTCGAGTTACGGTACGGTGCCCTTGTGTGGCAATCTCCTTTAAGTCCTGATATGGCCGTGCCCTTGTGAGGTACGTAAGCCCATATGGAAGGCCGTGTCCGTTACAGTGGCACGTACTCCCGCCTTCGGGTAATGAATCCCCGTTCTGCGGCTAGCGATAGATGTGCACATGAGTAAGGTTAAATGGTGTGATTTTGATTAGGAGATGAGACATGTTGTGATCATTGTTTATGTTCATGCTGCGACCATACCATTGTTATGTTATTCATATGCATAGTGTGAGTACGATATTTAACTGTACTCACTCCCACCTGCTCTTCACGGATGCAGGTTAAGCAGTTGGCGGGTGACGAGGCAAGACGAGTGGGTGGTCTTGCTTTTGTTTAAGACTGATATTTACTTCCGCATTTATGAACTTGTTATGGTTTATTTGATTATGTTTGAACTAGTGATTTTGGATAAGAGTTGAACGGATTTGAATACTTGGGTTTTATGCTGTTATTTATTGTTATTTTGAATCTTGACAAATGTGTTGGTTCATTTGATCTTCTTGTGTGTTGGATAAATTGCTCTTGGTAAATAAGTAGCGCCCTTTGAATTTTAAACTTAATCGAGATTTTAAAAAAAAAAAAAATTAACTCTGATTTTCATTAAATTAATTCGATAAATCTTTCAAAATAAAGTGGGGCGTTACATGCCATCAATGGCTAGATTATTTATAGTAGTTCAACTATGTTTGTCGGCTTCTTGAGTTAGAGCTTTCACAGAATGAATGGTGATCCAAGATATTAGAAGTTTAATTTTCAAAATCTTAAATTCGAACAGACATCTCCTACACTATATTCTAAGTCGAAACTCGTTTGACGTATTAACCGTCTTTTTACCAATCCAAATCCCAATGGCATTTGTGCTATCATGTTCATGCCATTCTCACAAGATAGCATCTTTCCATGACGTTTGTATTACTGTCATTTCTCACAAGATAGCATCTCATTCTAAAATTATATAGTAATAATGAAACTTACTGACCTATTCGGAAATTTCACCGGTAAAAATAAAAAAGTTCGTTGGGTTTGTAAATCTTACTAGACATCTAAAACACTGACAATCCACCAAACCATAAGGTCTCGTTTACTTCGCTTGATAGGACAGGATAAGTAAAACGTCAGACGTTTACATCAAGGGATTAGGACAAGATAGAACTGACGTGGAGTACATGTGGCTGTGGGGCCCACACGCATATCCTTTATTCGTCGATTAATTTTGTCCGGCCTTGACCCCAGGATTTTTTAATCCTGTCCTGTTCATGACATATTTGCCCTCAAAAGTGCCTGAGAAAGGACGTAAATACCCCTCAACTTCCTTTTAATTGCAATAAAAATACCACATAAACATTACAGTCACTATTTCACATCTCCCCAATTTTGGAATCGAAATTGCAGAGTATTGGAGCTCCTCCCTCATTCATTCTGGGCCAAGGTAAGCTCGAATCTCTTTCTTTTTTTTTTTTGTATTTGATAATGCAAACAGGAATTCGGCTTTGGCATTGAATAGTGATTCGATCTTAATTTATCCATCGTTCGTCCTTCTTATCGGACTTGCCCCTTCCGGACAAGATTTGCCGCCGTTCGTCCACGCCTGGAAACCTCGGTGGACCTCGTCATCGCAAATGAAAGAAGGGCTCGACGGAATTTTGGAAAGAGGGGCTCGGACCTCGTCGTCCACGCCTAGTTTGGGTTTATTAGGGTTCGGGCTCGACAGAATTTTGGAAAGAGGGGCAAATAAATTGTTCTTGATAAAAGTGGACTGACTTTTGGATAGCATCGAAGCATTTTTACATGGCTGGAATGCCAATTGATTTTGATGTTCAAAGTGTTGAGTTGATGAAATTCAATAAGAAATCTGGATTAAATTTTTCACGATTTCGCGAGCACCTTACCTGGAGAGGAAAAGTTTTATGAAATGGAGGGTAAATTGGACATTTAATTCTTATCCTATAAATTGGACAAATTTCAGATTTTTTAATCCCATAATATAAACATAAAATGCTGATGTGTAAAGTTGGCTTGATTATTATGTATAATCCCATCCTTGAAAGTAAATGAGGCCTAAGAATAAAAGGAACAACGAAAGAATCATTCTACATTTAAGTAATGGTGTGGGAAACATCAGAACGACTATTACATCTGCAAAAAGTATACCCCATATGGAATAAGCAATATATAAAGAGAAAAATCTTACACAGCCTTATTACAAAGACAAACTGTAAATCATAAAACCAAAAATATCAAGCAAAAACAAATACAGAACTGTTATAACCCATTGAAAACCTCAGGCTGCCAAAAAAATCCTACCTCTTCCTTCTCTTCTCTTCCACATCCATCACGTACCTGTTCAAACAAAAACTCTCGACCATTTTTCCCCTCAGCAGTAAAAATTCCACAAAAACATAACCAGCTCCAATCATCTGACCTGCGAAGCCGAACAAAGCAAGCCCGATGCATCCGACCCAATCACCGAGAGATCACACACCACGCACGTCTGCCCCTGCTGTGATACAACATAGTGGGTCCCACAGTAGGGGCATGCCACGTCCTTCTGCCCTCTATAAATCGGGACGTACGTGGCCCCACACACCACAAACGGGTTCCTGAAGTCATAATTCAGCTGGGTCGAATCCCTCATATTCCTCTCGGCCGCCTGCAGCACCTGTCGAGCCATCTTCGCCTGGCTCTCCACACTCGGGTTCGTCTCCAGGAGCCTCCTCGCAAAATTAGCCGCCGTGCTCAGGTTCTGGGCTTTGAAGCAAACAGTCATGGCGTTCATCAACGCGAGCCTCGCGTGCGGAAGCTGTAGGCTGCAGTGCGTGAAGTAAGCCGCGAGCTCCTGTTGACGAACAGGATTGTCTTTTAATTCCCTCCTCTTGAGCTCCATCTGCAAACCGAGAACGTACTCTCTCACGATCACGATCAGCTCCTTCACCTCGTCCACCTCCCGTCGCGTCTTCACCACGAGCAGCGGGATTGTGTGGAGGATGGACTGGAAATTCTTCAAGGCCTCGGAGAATTTCCCGGCAGTCGTGGCCTTGTACCCGGCTTTGAGCTTCTCCTCGAGCTGCGGGAAATTGAAGACGAGGGCCGGTGGCCCACGGACGTTCGGACTCGCGGACTCGCTCCAGTCCCCCTCGATCGCCGTTGAGACGACGGGGGCAGAGGCAAAAGCGCGCAGGTAGGTGTGGCTGCCCACGTGGAGGTCGACAAACTGAGATTTTAACGGACCGAAATTTTTTATGCCCAGCTGGCGACTCAGCAGGCGCATGGCGGTGTCGAAGTTTCCGGCAGCAGCGTGCTCGCCTGCCAGGGACGAGCGCTGGACCCATATCTGGCTCACGGGCATGCCTGGGGTGGGGGCCACAAAGACGGACGAGCGGGCACTGTTATTCGACTTCGTCGGGGTCTCGGCGTCGGCGGGTAGGTCGAGGTCCTCCAAGTCCCAACCGCCGTCCTCATCCCCACGCTCGTCGCTGATGTCACCATTTTCAATGTTGTCCACGTCAGCAATGTCCAGAGCCTCGCCCCAGTCGGCATCGGCTGCCTCGTCATAGTAGTCCTCTTCGGCAGGGACCCTGGCCGCCTCGTCTAGGCCGCCCTCGAATATGCCCTTACTGACCATTAATAGGGGCCAGTCCCCGGCGCACAGCACGGGACTCGGCGGTATCAGAAGAGAAGACTTTTTCTCCTCGGAAAGAGAAGGAAGGTTCTCGCCCAGTTCAGCAGCCAAGCGCTCGGCAGTTTCGTGCAGACCGTGGAGCGAGGCTGTGATGTACGCGAGGGGGAGGTGGCCTGCGTTCTCCAGAATCTTCACGCGCTCACGAACGTCCCCGAGATACAACGCGTCGTGAAATTGGCCCATGACGTCGTTCTTGACTTCAGCAATCTTCATCATCTTGGAGAGTTTATCGAGATTTCCGGTTATAAGGTAGTGGAAGGAGAGGCGCTCGAAGTTTTTGGTCTTCTGGTAGGCATACTCGACGATGCCGGTATTACCCTGGCGGAGGGCCTCCACGCCAAGCCTGTACCAATGGTCCTTCTCGTCTATTCTCTTGGCAGACTCGAGTGCTTTCTCAATGTTTCCGCTTTCGAGGGCGAGGTTGAAGCGGGTCCGTTCGTCCTTGACGAAATAGAGGGCGACCTGTGGGAAGCCCTTCTGCTGAAGGTAAGCAATCATGGCCTGCCCGCAGAGCTCTGAGTTTTTTATCATGCTCATGACCTGATCATACCTCTGCTTCAGTAAGGATAGCTTGAAGACGTATTCAGTGGGGTCGATGATGATGGGGCGATTCTTCCCATCTCGGTCCAGACAAAAGATTGTGCTTCCATATATCTTGGTTATGTACACTGGAACATCCAGTGTCTTGATAATCCCACTGTCTCCATTGGGAAGGCAATACTTGATGTGAGTGAGGGTTGTGTAAATGAAGACGCCATTATCATGCCAGCCTCCGCTCTTGACACGGATAGTCTCGTGAAGGGCACAACGGTGGACCAGTTTCTTATCAGCAATGATAATCGAGTGTTTGCTCAGTAAGGCAACACTCTCCATATCGTGCGACCATACAACATACCGAACAAAAGATGTCTGCAGCTCCCCGAGGACAATCCTCTGCTGGAGATCAAAGATGACAACCCTGTCCTCGGACCTGCACAGCAGATTCCCAGTGCCCGCGTAGAATATGGCATCGGTACCACTAGGAAGAGGACTCTTTTTCACTATTTCATTCTTCAGGTTCTTGACCAGTACACTGTTGGTGCTCTTCTCAAGAACGGCAAACCTGTTTCGAGCAATAAAGACTGCTGAGCTCCCAATGCCTCTTTTTGCATCCTGAACCGTGTCGCCTCTACCATAGCTATCTTTGGGGATTATGTAGAGCTCATAAGATCCCCCATCAGTGTCTGAGCAAATCAAGACCGCATTCTCTGTAGGACTGTAGGAGAGAGATCGTGGCCCTTGATTCAAGCTATTAGAACCAGGACGGCGGATGGGTATAAGCTGAATGTCTTTCTGGGAAGAATACTCAAATGCACGGAGGAACCTATCCTTGACATAGAAGAGGGAATCACCACTAACATAAAAGGCAGGGCGCTCTCTCTCCAGCTTGAAAACAATCATGCCACTATCATGACCGGCAGCAAGAAGATTCATTTCAGGATGAGCTGCAAGGATCCAGAACCTGTCGTGCTCCCTACGGAAAGTTTGGAGACCGGTTCTTTTTGTGGCATCCCAGACACGGATGCTCTTGTCTTCCGAGTTTGAGACAATTATGTCCTGTCTCGCATGGAACAAAACACACGACACGTTGTTCATGTGGCCTCTCAGAGTGTCCACCTCCCAAGCCTTCGTATCTGACACATAAAAACTCAGAATTAGCTATTCGCTTAGATTACCTATATCTAGATACACATCATGTACAATATACATATTTGATAGATGGAAGTTCCTAGAGGCAGTTCTAAGCACACATGGAATTAACACCTGTTCGAAATAGAAACATTCAAAACTTTGGCCAAGAATCACTTGACCAAAAATAAGAAAAGCTTGAAAATAAACCAGCACCAATCCCCCACTCCCCCATTCCTCCAACCCCAAAAAGGAAACAAACGAAGACAACACTAGCACTCCTTCCTGTGTTTCTCATCAAATTGATAGAATATAGAATCTAACAGATCCCACTCATTCTGCAAATATGCTGCCAAATAAACAAAATATTCCATACCATTCATGCGCCAGATTTTAACTTGTCGGTCATCTGCTCCAGAAACAATCAAAGGGAGAGTTGGATGGAAAGAAGCCCAGTTAACACCTCGATCATGGCCTTCCAATACATACTTAACAACAGCATCAACCCCACCGAAGAAGTCTGTGTTCATTTGAGGCAATCGCAGAATGTCATCAGCAGGGGATACTGTTTTCTTTTTCAAAGCACCAATATCCCAAACACGCACGGTCTGATCCAAAGAGGCGGAAACAACAAGGTCTTCTTTGGGGTGAAATGAGGCACACATAACATAATGGTTGTGTCCAGTCAGCACAGAAATGCAAGTGCGAGATTGCCAATTCCATATTCTAATTGTCTGGTCATCACTAGCACTAACAATCCAGGGATATTCATGATGAAACTGAACTGTCCGGATGTAATCAAGATGACCAAGAAGAGTAAACAGACATCTGTGCAATTTGTAATTCCAAACCTTGATTTTGTAATCATCACCTGCCAATAATCAATTTTTAACAATAACAATTGCCTAAAATATAATTAAATGGATCATCTGCAAATGAATAATTTATAAATGTCTGTTCCGACATACATACCAAAATATATGACAGATGAAAGGGTAATAAATTATTCTTCCATCAGTACAGTCTTCATGGAATAATAGATCCAACCAAAGGCAAAAATATAATGTAGGATGGAATTTTCCAGCTGTTGAATAACTAATAAGTAAGATTTGCAACACAAAAACCAACAACTAGAGAACTGTCATCATAATAAGTCACTCTAGAATGCATGTCATAATATAAAACACTTACGTTTATAGATTCAAGTCAGATTTTGCAAAAAACTTCACCTCATATCTAGATCCCTATCATGATAATGGGCAAAAACAAAGCTAGCTCCAGAGAGCAATGTTATCATGTTCACAAATTCAAGTAATTTTTCTCAGCACACTTCACCTGTCTATTCAGTTTCTGAAACTAGAGCTCCGTCATGATAACATCCTAAAGACACCAGCTCTAGAATAAAATCTGGCATTTATCAACAAACAAATTGTACAGGCCTCTGAGACAAGAAATATTAACCCCAAACACAACTAGAACACTTCGAAACTCTTTGATTGAAGAATCAAGATAACAACGTTCAACTAAATAGCAGGACATCTATAATAAATGCATGGATAAAATCATGTACGTGTTTAACTAAGTTTTGGTCAGAAAGCAGCCACATTTTATAATAATGCATAATGGAAACAAGCATGTCAATAGTAGTTCTTAAATCCAGAGATAAATGTCGGCAAGGCAGAAACTATTCAAGATACGCCAATAGATTATTACCACTAAACCCACTCAACAACAACACTAACACAAAGCCAAACAACAAATCCAAATAGCAATCGCCACTGATCCAGCAGACTAACGGATCAAACCAAAAA